TTAAAAAGATATTCTAACCAGTAATAAAACTGTAGGTACAGTAGCATTATGTATGAAATGTTCCAACTTTAGAACCATGATTATAGTAAAAGAAAATCTTACATTTAGAAATGTTAATGTACAGAAATCTTTTAAAAACAAAAGATGCTAAGTTAAAGCTATTTGTAAACTTTGCTATTGCTACCCAGCCAGCGTTAGCATTAATAGCCTCTAGCCTACCAGTCTTGTTTGGTCAGATATGTAATCTTATTCACTTATTCTTATACTTGATATACTTAAAAATTTTACTACTACAGCTTTGAAATATTTGAAAAATATTTAAAAGGAGCTATTTGTAAGTTTTGCTAATGCTACATAGCCAACATTAACAGCTGTTTACTTACAGGTTTTGCTGAGAGCTTTAGCCATTGTTGTGACGTGAAGGGCCAACTAGGCTGTGGCTAGTTGGTTAGCATGCTAACTCCAGTAGAAGAAAAGAAGTGATAGAAATAGAAAGAAAACACAAGGGGTTGCTTTCCACCGTGAGTAAAGGAAGTTTTTATTTTGCTCATGTAACGTTTGTTCTAGACTGGTAAGTAAAAAGCTGCTAATGCTAACATTAGCTATGTAGCAATAGCAAAAATTACAAAAACTGTAGCACCTTTTAAAAAAAATGTTTTAAATAATTTCAAAGCTGGGCAGGAATTTAAAGTTGTCAAAAATTTCAAATAGGAAGTATTGGGTATAACAATAGCTCTAGTTAGCTCTCTTCAGACATTTGTGTTCTCTCTGTGTCTCACACACACACACACACACACACACACACACACACATACATTCATGAGGACACACACTCCTCATGGCACAGGATGTCAGGTGGTCCGGCCATTGTGTCCTCACCTGTAGGACATTGTCAAAGCACAAAGGAGGGGCGCACTACGTGTCAGCCTGCTGTCAGCTTCTGTTTGACTTGAATTTGTAAATCCCTCTCTTTGAGCCGTGGGCCTTTGAAAGATTAGCCACAGTTCACATCTGTGTGGGTTTTACTTATTGTCAAGAGGCATGGGGATCCCTCCACAGTTTTCACAGACCTCAATAATTACAATTGTCAACACTGTTCAAGTTTCACTGTTTGTTTCTGAGCACATAAACATGTTCATAGTGGATTCTTTGAGGGTGGGGTACCCGTGAGGATTTGAGATGCTTTGTTGTGTTTATTAACTGCATGGATCATGGATTTAAAGGAAACCCCCAGTCTACTGTTCTTTATGGGTTTATGTAACCTTCATCTTAAGGTCACTGGTGTTTTGCTTCCAGCCAGGTGAAATTTCAACTGTGTACACGCGAGAAAGAGTTTCAAAGAGGAGCAAACTGAATATAGAGTATCACAAAGGGACAGAGTCTCTACCTGGGACCTGTGCCGCGCTCCGCTTCTCAGGCACTAACCAGACTGATGTTTGCCATAAAGCGGGGGCCTCTCGCTCGCTGCCCTGTGAGGTCACAGCACCTGTTCTTGGTAATTGCTGGCAGGTGACGTAAGGCTTCCACTTGTTTTCCATGGTGTAAGGTGGAGGTCCCCACGGTCTCCCTCCCACACACCGACGCTGGAAACTCCTGTTGCTTGTTTGCAGCAAATAAGCGAGTCTGACTGGATCGTTCTGCTCCTCCAGTTCCCTGAGAGAGAAATGAACTTTGGCTTACCTGTCAGAGGCGAGTTAGTAAAAAAAAAAGAGAAGTTATGTGTACATTTTTCTTTCAGCAGTTTTCACTGAAAAATACATGGATGTTTTTAAAAGAGCAGATGGATTTAAAAAAACAAAAAACTTATATCTGACCTTACTATGTTAACTTTATACTGGCGTACAGTTGGGCTGTGACACGATATATACTTGTCCACTGTCAGAGATTTGTTTTGTTTTTTTTGCCTCAGTGTCATAATTGACCATATTAGGATATTCATGTTTATATTACAATAAAAAATGACACATACCGCAATACTTGGGTTTTATCCATAAAGAAGCGACAATAACTTATTTTGGAAACAAAAAAAAGGGTGAAAAGTAAAACACACACAGTTCTCCTGTGCATTGAACAATACTTGCCAACATTGGTGCACTCACTTTGGTTGTAACTTGAATAACGTACTTTACATAGTTTAGCAGCGTTGCCATTTTCACAGCCATTACATCATTATCATCATCATCGTCATAAGTAATAAGAATTAGTCTTGAAATCTAAGAACTGGCATTATCTTCAATGTGTTACATAGACTACAAAACATTTTTATTATGTGACGTTCACACAAGTTATGATTATGGACTTTTAATACGTCTGTATGTCCACCATTTTGGTGATTCACTGTACACAATTTAAATTTTTTCAAATTCAAACAAGTTAATTGGCTCAAACGTCCCAGGACCAAAACTGATTCGAGTAAGATCTTTAAACTTTTACAGTGTGGGACAGTCACTGGCTCATTTGGCGGACTGTCCTTAATTGATTAATCCACTAAAGACCAACTTAACTGATGTTTTTTATCACCACAAACCAAATGTCGCTGGCCTCCTTTTGCCAGGTCCACCTGATAATGTCTTTTCAAGGCTGGCTGCGCGAGGACAGAAGCCAGTAGATAGGGTATCTAGCCCAGGCCTCCAGCCAGCTGTAAACCTGATAGCATCTGTTTTAAACGTTTGAGAGACGTAGAGAAAGGAACCCTCTTTTCTTCTGAGCTCTGGAGCGCTAGTTATCTCACGCCTTTTTAGTGAAGGGATCCACAGATGGCCCGTGTCCTGACAGTTATACAAATGTGATATCACTAGCCGAGGTATTCCGCTTGGATCCTCTTTCTGCGTTACTGTAGGCCGACAAGTGGGACTCATTCATGCTCACAGTAAACAAGACAAGTGGGACACAAAGGGAGTCCTCCTCTCTCAAGGCGAGAAAGAAAGAAAGGCTTTTTTTATCTTTGTGAAGGCAGACACAACAACCTCTTCACACCTGAGTGTGCTCTCTGTCCCGAGTTCTTCTCATCCATTGTCATCATGTGTTATCTAAACCATCAAATCGACATGAAAAGATCATTTCATGTTCTTCTGTCACCCGAGGGGGCTTTCGACAACTTGCCTTTCATTTGCTTTGTCTGAATCAGGTGACAAAAACCATTTGTCATCCTGTTTTTTTTTCCCAGGTTGTGTCTGGTTTGAGCTCACTTCAAAGACCTGGGATCTGATGAGCAGCTGGGAAATTTATTTGTTTTGTTTGGAGAAATTCAAACCTTTTTTTTTTTTTTTTTTGCTCTTACTCATTGTCTTCTAATCAGAAATCAGTGTTTGGACTATAAAGAGCCCCAGGGTTGTTTTTCAACAGTTTATGAAAAGCTCAGACAGTTTTGTCCTGTTGCTTTCATATTGTAAGCTTAACATTATCCACTTTTGATTTCTTCGTACTTCTTCTTCGTTAGTGACTGTGCCTTATTTTTATAATTCTCATACCTGAATGGGTTGAAGCATCAGCAGCTGTGATCATGTGTATTTTCACATTTTAGATCGGGCTGAAGTATCCTCAGGTCTTGTGTCTGTGCGCCCCCTTTTTGGAGACTTTCCTGTCCTGTAAGAAAAGAAGCCCATCGGTCGTCTGTGCAAGCAGCTTATTATGACCCATACTTACTTTTTATGTCATAATTATGACGGGACAGAAGGAGGAAGTCAGGGAGTGAATGACTGGGAACTTGTACTCAGGAAACTGCTGTTCGTTTCCTATGCAAAACTGATAATGAGCATTGTTTCTTTTATCCATGACTGTTCCACAACCTGAACTGTGTCTGGTGATTATTGTAACCATGACGATGAAGGTTCCTCTAACCTTAGGGAAGTCCGTCCTTTAACCCAAACCACCATCTTTTCCTAAACCTAACCAAACAGCGACCGTTCCACAGCCTTAACTGTGTGTTTATTACCGTTACCATGACAACAAAGATCCAATATGCCTGCTGCTGGTACGCTCCTATGGATTGTATCCAAGGGTAGGGACAAGCGACTTCTACTGTCGGCGAACTCCTTCACGTCAGATTGAGTTCAGAGACCTAAACATTAAGGCACCAGTCTATCATTTGTATTCATTCACTGTCATTTTTACTAGTTTGAGTTTGTTTTGTAAAGAGGAAACTTGGCGTGCTACCGTCACGGCTACATCTGAACCAGGAAGGTTGATAGGTCCATCACACTGGTGATTGTTATATTCCTCAACCGATACTAGTCAAGTCATTCGATTTTATTTTGCACAAAATCACAAGGGTTTTACAATCAGCACAGCATATGACTCCCTCCATCCTTAGACCCTCAAACAGAAAAATTCAACATACAACGAAAAATCTTAACGGAAAACATGGAGAAATCTCAAGAAGTAGTACACGGAAGAAGTAGTAGAGTTAGAATATGGAGAAACAGAATGACTATCAAGGTTCGGGGGAATTTGAATCTAGAAGTTCCACAAGTTTCTCTAAGGCTCAGTCTGTCATAGGGATGCCCTATTTATTTATTTCTTATACCAGAAAGTCCCTCAACTATTAGCACAACTTACAGTATTAAGTTTTAACTCAGGACTCCACATTTCATGTAATTTCAAGCTACATTCTCGCCCCGACCGTAGGTGTGTTGGAACGGAACTGGGACTCTAGTTACTGTAAGTTGAAGGACTCAGCTCGGGTCCCACGCACTTATCTGAGCAGGATACTCTATAGACATCCCGCCTCGGTGATCCTGGGCCACCGTGGGACGGTGACGGCAACGGCAGCGCCGACGACACAAGTTGGAGTCGTTTCTGATTTGAACCCGATTCAAAAGTATAACATGAGTCTTCGTATTTCAAAGTGGGAGGATTTGTAACAGATCCCCTCTATATGTCCACTTTTAACAAGTGACATCGGCCCTCCTGGCTTTTACTCAAGAGAGGTTTGATGGCCATGATTATTTACACAGAGGGTTTCCTTCTTTTTCTCTCTCTTTTTTTTTTTTTTTTTACAGTCGGTCATTTTCATAAGGGATCATAATACTCTTGGACAGGAAGTATCCGGCTATATAGACTACGCCCACAGACTCAAGACCCAAGATTTCGAACCATATTTCAGCGGAAAGAAGAGGCTCATGCCAGGACGTTCGGATTTATGGTAAGTCTCCTTCCATTGTAACATGTCCATGTTGGTTGGGGAGGCCTTGACTCTGAGTGGGATTTGACAAGATTTGAAGGGTAAGGAAATCTTATTATCCAGGATTAAAGATTCAGGTTGACGTGAGAGGCCAATATAGGCTTGGAAGGAGCTGTGCAAAGGGCCGGTATAGTAAGTATGTACAGCACCAGCCATTGTGGCTTCAGCACAGATGTGGAATAAATATACAGTGCTGTAAGTAAAGCTGAGTGGAGCTGCCAAAGTGCTGAACCTGTCTGGACAAGACAGACATGATTAGAGTCAAGATTAAAGCAGGTTTAAACCATGAGATTTTGATCTTCTTTTAATGTGCAGTGAATTTGTCATCACAGATAAATGTAATAGATTTTATCGCCTCGAGATTAAACTAGATAACGATATCGCCTGATTGACTAATTTACTTGTTGAGCTTGCTGGTTTGATGGGGGACAAGGCTCCTGTGGGAAAGTTCAGGTGTAGAGCTGAAACAATAAATCAACTGACGGAAAATCAACCTGCGACACAGTTGAGAATCTTTTTATTCCTTAAAGTTGTGTTTTAAAACAAAAATGCCAAACATGCATTGATCCCAGTTTCATTTTTGTTCCTTTTTGTTTTTAAATATTATATTAAACTCAATATCTTTGGATTATGACAATCGAATCTGATGAGTTCTTAATGTATTGTTGGTCCAAAAGTCTGAAACCGCTTAACATTAAAGGAATAACCAAATAAAGGAGTGCAGTCATAACAAATGCAGATACCCCCATAATGAAATTAGTGATATGTTTTGAGCTTTGTGTTGAGAAGGTGTCCTTTCTTTTTGCCTTTCATTTACATTTGACCTTCTGGAGACTTAGTCAACCCATCGCTAATGGTCTTCACAGTCTCCAGATCTAAACCCAACTGAACACCTTGGCATAATGTGTCAGACAGTTCTCTCTACCACCGTCATAAAATCACCAAATGAGAGAATATCTTTTGGTAGAGTGTTGTTCATCCCTTCAGGAGAGTTCAGAGACCTGGAGAATGTACGACGAGGGAGTGATGAAGCTCTTTTGGAAGCTGAAGGTGGAACAGCAGTTTACTAAGACACTTTATGTTTCCATTATTTTGTCACCCATCTGCATGTAAACTTTCTGTGAGAATATATAAAAAATATGAAGAGTAGCATGGTTAAAGATTCATGATCATGCATATTTAAGACAAGTTAGTAAAATCTTTACAATTAAAATCTAACCATCATCAAATACGGTGATGCGTGGTGCAGAATTAGAAAAATTGTGACTTTTGGAAATATCAAAAAAGACAATTAATAAACAGCATCAGAGCTTGATACCAAAGTTGTCAAGCGCTTTGAATCTGGCACATTTACCCAAGATGCATCATGTGCTATATGTTGTACAACCACATGCATCAGTGCCAGTCACACAATCCTCAGCACCGGCCACAAACGAACTGCTGACCTTACAGGTGCAAGCTAAAATCTAGCTTGTATCCCCTCAGCGGGCGCAGGTAACATCTTCATCGTCCGTTGCCCGTGAGGAGAGCTGTGCACACACAGAGATGTCAGCAAAGTACCGCAGCCAAAACCATTCCCACATTCCACACACTCGTGCATAGTAACATATCGCCAACATTTCAGATACGTGCGAGAAATCCCATGAGGACAAACACAACCGGACAGGGGTGAGAACGTGTAGTACATGGTTTTGTTCAGAGTTCAGCCAAATGGCATGCAACCTGTATAACCTCAGTGACACCGGGCAGAACACGGACACTCATGGCACCGGTTTGACATTATATGCAGCTTCATATAACAAATCACAGAGTTTTAAAGTTTTATAATTACAATATGCATGTTAGTCCTTTAATAAATCACAGAGATTTCCAGTTTTATAAGCTCAGTGTGTATGTTATTATTCAAACCACGATATCTCTGGTTTACAGGAAACCGTCTTTTAACTGCCGCAGCAGTTAAGAGACGGTCTGCGTTTTATTTTTGGAAGTGGTTTTCCCTTTCTTTGAAACCAAAGTGTCAGACATGCAAAGCTTTGTTGTTTTATTTATCCATTTCTCACCATGTGTCCTGACGCACAACCCGGCTCGTGGCCTTGAACCCGACCTCCTCTCCGGCGAGTGGAAGCCCCTAACAAGCTGTAGGTGTGAGTCATTGGGCGAGCACGCCTGGAGGTACAGCCTACTCCCTAATGATGCTTTTACGAGGCATCCCCCCCTTCGACAGGTCTCCCTGCCCTCCCTCCATCTGACATCTGACTTCACCCCCCCCCCCTCTGTTTCTTTCTTCACCCGCTGAAACTCTACTTCATCAGATTTACACATCTCTCTATCTTTATTTTCAACTTTTCTAACCTCGTGTTCCATGCTTTGCTACCTCTCCCCCTCCCCTCCATGTCACCCCCCCCCCCCACCCCTCATTTTTTTTTTTTTCATCTCTGTTGGGAACAATAACACCCAGTGTGGTTGCCGCTAAGAGGGAGCAGATGCTGGAGCTGCTGCCCACTCAGTGCACTAAACCTCCCACCGCAGGACTCTGAATCCTGTCCCTCCTCCTCCTCCTCAGCCACAAAGAACACAGAGCAGCGACACCAGCGCCAGCTCTGGCCTCTACCTCCCACCTCCAGCAAGGAAGGGTGGATAGGTTCACATACACAGTCTGCAATGTCTCCAGGAAAAAAAAAAAAAAGAAGAAGAAGAAGAAAAGGAGCAGTAGCAGAGTATCTCCCTGGAGCAAAGTATGTGAACTTAAAAGACGAGAAGAGGAAGAAAATATTGATTATGTAAAATGGGAAGCATATCTGTGCTCCTGCAGAATGGTGTGCCAAATTCATTTTGACTTTCCAACATTATGTAACTGCACTTTCTCCTTTGAGATTACCTTTGTTCCAAATTATGATCAAGAGCAAGTGCAGAAGATTTTTACACTTTTTAAACACTTTAAAAGGCACTTTTCTCTATTATTTCAGTCAGTTACGACTCAGAGTACGTGTAATTATGGAAGCCACACCATATCAAAATGCACTTTGTTTACGTCAGTAGCAAAAACAGGAAGAACAGCTTGTTTTCTCGAGACTGTTAATTTTGATTTTCATCATTAATGGACCTGAAAGGAAATGTCTCTTTGAGATGTTTGTCAGCTTGAGTCTGACACAGTCATGCTCTCTAATTTGGTTTTTGGTAAATGTTTTTTTCCTCAGTCACCTCCAGGATCTTTGCATTCGCACAAACTCCATCGGAGCAGCAAGCAGCAAAAATCAGCCCAAAGCTGGGGCTTGATTTATTTTAGCAGGCACACAGAGTGGGTGGGTGGGTCGTATAAACATCATTTGTAAAGGCATATGTTGTAAGCCTCTGACCTCCTGGGAAACCTGGGTAAAGTAAAAAAAAATTCATCAGAAATCAAGTCCAGAATTTTGTAGAAAAGTTTACATGTAGGGGTCGGTTAATAAAACAAAACCACACAATAATATTGGTAATGATGTTAATAAAAATGCACTTTTCATGACAAACATTTATAAATACTGGTACAATAACTTTCAGACGCACGTGACACAAAAAAAACTCTTTAAATTCTACAATATCATGATTGTTTTAAAACCTTAATCGTTACATTTCTGCCTCCATTACTTTATGTGAGCTTCCAATGTAGACACACACACACACACACACACACACACACACACACACACACACACTCTAGTCCTGACCCTCATCTAATTATCCCACAGATCTGCAGCTCCGTGTACCCAGCTTCCTGCCACTCCAGATGTGCCTACAGCATCTCTGATGTCTATTTAATGTTCCCCAGCAAAGTGACCATCTGTTTATGCACTCTGGCTGCTCCCCTCCTTCCTCCCTGTATCTCTCCCTCTTCCAGTCCCTCTGTTTAGTATAAAGACTTTTAAAGAGGCCGGGCAGCATCTCACATGTATGGTATAGTCCTAATTGATTCTTTTCCTCTTTAAATTGTTACAGTGTGTTTGGCGTAAAAGCTTTAATCATGTTACTGTGTCTAAAAACAAGTCGATTTTTATAGTTGTGGTAGATGTTTTTTTCTTTTTTTTTTAGCTGCACAAAACAAATACACTGATTTTTATCCGAAGGAAGCAACACCATGCCTTTTATTATTCAATTAACCTTTCTAAGTCAAACATCTTTTTGCGAAGCTGGATCGTATGAAGCTTTCCTGCACTCCTGCTCTCCCCCCGCGTGCATTTGGCAACCGGCTGAAACGCTGAACTTTGAAGGATCTGCTCGGCTCGATCACGGCGCATGCCTCCTCCGCGGCCAAAACCATATTGCCTCCACGCTCGGGCCTCTGCAACGCACCTGTGTGTCTGGCTTCGTTCTCTGCTGTGAAAATATTTGCACTGCTGTCCTATTTTATTAACTTTTAATACAAAAGAGAAACTGTTCCAGCTCCGAAAGCTGATTTGGCGGCTCTGCCTGAAGTATTGTGTCCGGGCTTTAATGGCGGTGGGTGGTGGTTGGGATACTCGTAAGCCGGAACTTTCCGCGCCGTGTGTGTCGAGCGTCACACACGGTGCGCACGTACTTCATTATGAGCTGGACGCTCGGGGGTTAAATGGGTCGGGGTCGGACTGTTTGTTCTGAGCGCTGATACTGTTTGGACTGTGTTTGATAGATTAACTCAATGTTCCACCAGCTCTGCCTCCAAGACCTCCTGCCAAGTTTGATTGGCTGCTCCGTCCATGTCGTTGACATGTAACATCTGAAATGGTGGCTGGATGTCTGACAATGACACAACCTCTTATCTGTGACCATCAATCTTCGTGGTCAGTGTGTTATCATAGCGGACTGATAAGCTGTCATTAGTGAGCATTCCTATGAATATGAGTGAAGACATCGGGGCCGGTCGCCTGTAGTCTTTGGGACTCTTTTAACAAACAGAGGATGACCCCCGACCTCTCTCAGTGAAGGTGCTATTAGCCTCCTGAGCT